GCTTCTGCCTGTCTGCCAGAGACAGGTGCGACGCCGTTGCCAGCGGGATCGAGCGGGCGACGGACGGGGGGGCGCGGGGGGGGCGGGGGGCGGGGCACGCGGGGCGATGGACCTCGACGCCGCCTTGCAAAACCAAACGGAATGCGACGGCGAGTGCCGCTCCCCCGCCGCGAGCGCTGCCCCGCGCCCAGACAACCCAAGTCAGGTAGCAGTGCGATTCCAGCGACAGGTGAGAGGGCTGCAAACCCCCAGCGAACGCGAACGGAAACAGTTCGCGGCAGTCTTTCGCGGGCGCGATCGCGCCGACCACGCGAGGCGCAAGTTCGGCGCGCATGCGGGGCGCGCTCAGGAGCGCAGAAAAGCACGACGCCATTCTGAGCATATTTTTACAAAGGCATCCCTCTAGCCCCGTATCCGCTCAGCCTAGCGACAACTCGTTTGGACCCCCTTAAGACGCACTGCTTGTTTGCACGACAGACACTTCCTGACCCGTGGCAAATCAAATTCCGCGCGACATTGCTCCGCCTCTCTCCCCCGTTAGCCTCTTCATCATTCCGATGGGCATGCATGTACAGATATATATATATATATATATATATATGTATATACATATGTATATATACACACACGTATACATATATATATATATATATATATATACATATATATATATGCATATACAAATCGCGCGCGCGCCCCGCGCCGTTGCCAAGTCGACCATCCTTCTTCCATTGCTCAGAGCTTCCCCGTCGACGGGCCCCCCCCCCTCTACCCTCTCCTCTACTAGGCCAAGAAATCAACGCACCTGCGCAGCTCGCACCCAAGGCCGAGGCGCGTCGGCCAGGCGCGGGCGCCGCCGCGCATTCGACGTGGGCATGCTAAGCAGCCGTTCGTTGACCAGGGTCTGTCTTGTCCTTCATCACCTCCTCCATCTCCTGGCCCAGCGAGCCTGCGCGCCCGCCGATGCACCTAGCGCTGCGTGCAAACCATGCACCTGCAACCCGGAATTCCAAATTTCGGTTTAGCTTGATTTGGTGCCATTGCACGTTCAATGTGCCGGGTGCGCCGCGGTCTTGAATTCCGAGCGCACCGTGCTGTGCTCGACGCGCGCGTTCAGGTTAAAGCCGAATTCATGGACGAGGGCGTTGCGCGGCCAATGGCCTGCAGCGCGAGGCAGCACTTGCCATTGCGGGAAACATGAATTGCTTAGACAGGCCTGGCGCACAGGTCCTGCGACCATGCCGCCCCGCGGCGTCATCGCGCCCGTTTTTTTTTGAGTCGCATGTTTTTTTTTGACCGCGGCGCCACGGCGAGGTCCTGCGGCTGGTCGTGCAGCGAAATCCAGGCGCGCGCATGCGCGGCAGCGTTCCTCGGGTCGCGCATTGGTTCGTTCACCCTTGGTGCCGAAGTTGTTATCCACATTCGCGCAAAGAGGCGGCATGTCAAACGCAGGAAGAAGACAGCTTGCTAACCAACGGCATGAGCAACCACGTTATATACGTTGTCAACCTGCGTTGGCAACACGGAAGGGAACGCCCGCGGCCATTCAGCACGGATTGTTAAGGGGGCGACGGGGAGGAAGGGCGCGGACAGAGAACCGATGGAAGTAAGCGAGAGAGAGAGAGAGACAGAGAGAAAGAGAAAGAGAAACAATTAGTATATGACGAGGTGAGATAGGGATATTGGGAAGACGAGGAGATGATGTTTGAGGAGATGGGCAAGGAGTATTATAGCATAAGAGAAGGAACCGCAACGGATGAGAGAGGATAGAAGAGCGAGGAAGAGGATAATAGCACTGATGGCGAGGAGGAGAGATGAACCATGAGGAGCGTGCGATGATGCCGGGAAACAAAGCATTCACTGCCGTGCAACAGGTAAGTAATTGAGGGGGGCATTTTGTGTATACATATGTATACTTGTACACGTACCTACATCCATACATGCATGCATGCACGCACACGTATACACGTACTCAAATACACGCATGCATGCAGACATACATGCATGCATGTTTGCATCATTATGTGTTATATCTATATATATACATATATGTGTGTGTGCTCGCCCTCTGTGATCATACCGCTCATTGCTTCTCGGTTTCTTTCTCGTTTTCCTTTGTCTATTATCTATCCTCCCCATTTTTTCCTCCTCCTCTTCATCACCGTCCTCCTCCTCTCTTCCTCCTCCTCCACATCCTCCTCCTCTTCCTCCTCCTCCCGTCTGTAGCAATATATAGAAGCAATACCAGACAGCGCTTGGCGCTTCTAGTGTAAGGAAGCGCTATGTATGTTTGGTTTGTTTGGTTGCTTTTGTCTGGGATGCAAGGAAACGTTGTTTTTTTGCAAACCCCAGTGCTCGCCGCGGCCCCCGTCCCAGCACCCTTCCCCGCGCCTCCCAGAACAAAAAGCAGAAATACGCAGTAATCGGCGCCGCTGGTGCAAGGAAGCACTATGTATGTTTGTTTGGTTTGTTTTTTTGGGCTTGTGAGGCCACGAACCACTGTATATGTTTGGATGTTTTAATTCGTTGCTTGTTGTTGCTTTTTTGGTTTTGCAGACCCCAATGCTCGCCGCGGCCTCATTCGCAGCACCTCTCTTTGAGCCTGCCAAAAATCACGCTGTAGTCTGCGCCCTTGGTGCGGAAACGGTGCGTATGTTTTTTATGTTTGTTGTTGTTGGGTTTGTGTTTGCGGGTTTTGTGGGGGTGGGGTTTTGCCGGCACCCGTGCTCGCCGCTGTTTTTTCTCGCAACAGTTGTCCCTGAGCTTGCAAAACCAGAAAATATCGCTTTGCATCCCAGACCGAAAAAAAAATAATGCACAAACGCGCAACGATTCTTTGAACCGATTCAAGCAGAAAGGAGAGAAGAGGGAGGAAGGAGAAGATATTCATTTGGATTCGAATGAGATCCAAGCCAGGACTGAATAAGGACAGGGGAGGGTGAGGAGGAGGAGGAGGAGGAAAAGAGGGAGGAGAGCTTCTGTGGGACCTGAAGCAGGCCCAAATAAGAATTCAATGATAAAGGAGAGAGAGAGAGAGAGAGAGAGAGAGAGGAGGAGGAGGAGCAGGAGGAGGAGGAGCAGGAGGAGGGGGAGGCTGATGTGGAGGTGCACGAGGTAACCGAATGGATTCGAATAAGATCCAAACAATAATGATTCAAGCAGAAAGGAGAGGACAAGACGGAGGGAGCAGGGATTCTATTGGATTTGAAAAATCCAAATCCTGGTTCAATAAGGACAGGAGAGGACAAGGAGAAGGAGTATCAGAGGCAGCAGGGATCATCTTGGATCTGAATGAGGTCCAAGTCAGGATTCAATAGGGGAGGACGAGGAGAAGTCGAGGAGAAGGAGGAGAGATTCTGTTGGATCTGCACAAGTTCCAGCTACGACTTCAATACGGCAGGAGGGAGAGGAGGATGACGAGGCATATTATGGGATGCAGGGTAGACCCACATAGTGATTCAGCAGGGGCAGGAAAGGAAAAGGCAGAGGAGGAGGAGGAGGAGAGATAACTCAAAGTGAAAGGAGAGGAGAAGGAGGATGGACGATGGCTTCGATTGGAAGTGCATACGATCCAAATACGCGCTCAATTCGGAAAGGAGAGGACGAGGAGGAGAAATATGAGGAGAGTGAGGTTGAATGCTATTGGATCCGAATGAGGCCCAAGTAAGGATCCAATAGGACAGGAAGACGAGGATAAGTGGAGGAGAGGGAGGAGGGATTCGATTGTATTGGATTTGCTGAAGACCCAGCTACTGCTCCAATGCGAAGGGAGGGAGAGGAGGAGAACTGAGGAGAACAAGGCACGCTATGGGATTTAGGCTAGATCCAAATAGTGATTCAGTAGGGGCAGGGAAGGAGAAGGCAGAGGAGGAGGTGGAGGAGGAGAGGCCGATGACATCTACTGGATCGGAGTAGTGCCCAAAGAGGGATCCCATGGGAAAGGAGAAAGGGAGTAAAAGCAGAACGGCTGCCACTACTTTTGAAAAAGGTTGACTTAGGGTCCAATGGGAAAGGATGCGGGTGAGGAGGAGGGAGAGGACGACGAGGAGGGGGAGGGACGAGGAGGAGGAGGAGGAGAAGGTGAATGATAGGAAGAGGATGATAACGGAGGCGGAATGCATGATCTCCAGGGGGGCGAACATATACATGTACATACATATGGATGTGCACATATACAAGTTACAATGAGTTTCTACACACTTACACACAATCATACCTGCATGCATGCATACACACATACATATCCATACATACATAAATACATACATACATACATACATACATACATACATGCATGCATGCATGCATACATGCATACACATATACGTACATGCATACATGCATACGCACACACATGCATAATGCATGCATGTATGTATATACACACGCGTGCTGCCTCAATCTGGCACATGTACATATGTATGTGTGTATGTATAGTTACGCTCATATGTCTATATATATACATATATGTATATATGCATCTATACACATATAGATACACATTCGCGCACATATATACATATATATACATATATATGTATATGTGTATATGTGTATGTATGTGTGCACGTCGCCTCTAGTTGACAAAAGTGCATCCCCAATGCCTCCACCGTCGATCCTCGATCTTCGACCCTTCCTTCTCCCTCCTCACGGGGACGACAACGACGGCGACGACACATCTCTGGGCCGCCGCGGAGTGGCGCCGAGGGCCTGCCGCCCCCGAAGTCATGATGTTTTCATAACCGCGGCCCCCACATGTCTCGACCCATTCCCTTGGACCGGCTTCCCACCGTGAGTCGTCTTTTGACGGTCCCGAGGCCCAGTAAGGGCCCACAGAGCCCGAACACAGCCACAAACCTCCCGTCATGATTTTTTCATGACTCGAGGGGGCCTGGGATCGTCGAAGGCGTCGTCGGCGCTGACGCCGTCGTCGTCGGGGCAGGGCAGGCGCGCGCACCAGCGCGCGCCAGCGCACGCGCGAAGCAACGCCCCGAGCGCAGGCGGGCCCTGGCGGGGCCGCGGGACGCCCGGGGTCGGCTGGAGGACGCCCGCAGGCGTCGGCGGCAGCGGCGGTGGCGGCTACGACGGCGACGAAGGCGCCGACGCTGTCGTCGCCGTTGTCGACACCGCCCCGCGAAAAAATCACGACGGGAGGTTTTTGATCGTTTTCGGTTTCGGGTGGTTCGACAAAAGACAACTCGCGATGAATAGCTGGCCCTGGGGCAAGGGTGAGGATTCTTGACGCTTCGCGTATCCCCACCAGAGGTCCTGCACTTGCCTCGGGTTCCGCGTTCCTGGTAGCGCGCCGCTTCCTGGGTTGGCCCGGCGGTGGAAGCGCTCCGCTGGGCTGATGTGTGGTTTGCAGATACAGTGTTGATCATGTTCTCCTGGCGTGCAGGATTTAATTCTTTTCTGGCGTTTTGGAGCCATTCACTCGCATGGTGCATCAGCTACCCTGGCCGTTTGCAGTCAGCTCAGCCAGCTCCCCCTTCAGCCCGCGGCCCCACCGGCGGCAGCTTCTGAGTGCGGGCGCGGCCGCTGTGCTTTTAGGCTTGCGCGTTGCTAATTTGACAGGCCCGTGGCCCGGACCTCTCAGTTCGGCGACTGCGAATCCGCGTCCGCCCGCGACCAAAAAGTATCCCCACCAGCAAATCGCGGCTCCTTCCTTACTCGGGCCCGGCGGCCGTCTTCGGCACCGCTCTGACCCACCCGTGCGACTTCACCACGTGTGACCGGCTCCCCGGGCTTAGGCTTGGGTCTTTCCCGTGGTGCTCTCGCCCGCCCGTCGCCACTTTGTGTGTCGGCTTCGGGCTCGTGGCCCGGTTCAGGACCCGTGGTGGGTCAACCTGGCGCCACTTCACGCACTGGTTTGTGGTGGCCCGCGCCATTTCGGTTGCATCGCAGCTCCGCTGCTTCCCGCACTCGTGCGTTCTGCTGCTCGGGTCCATTGGGATTTGCAGCCTGCCAACGCTTTCGCCTCCTGGTTTTCAAATTTCTTTGACCGACGGTCCTTCGGGCCACCCTGGTACTCACGCAGTCGTCCGGGGCTTCGTCCTTGCACCAACCAATTCAACCTTGACCGGCGGTCCTTTGGCTGCGGCCACCCTGTACTCACGCAGTTGTCCGGGGTTCGCGCTCATGCATTAATCCAACGGCGTCCGACCCGGGTCGTCTTTTGTTCGTCTTCTTGGTGCTTCCGACGCCATGCTTACTTGCACGCTGGCAGTACGACTCAGTTTCAGCTGCCCCCTGCCACTCGCCGGTCCGCCGCTGAGTTGCCGCGCGAGGCCCCGGTTAGCCGCTTTAGGTTGCCAGTCTCCGCTGCTTTTGGCTAATTCGTCGCTGCGTGGCCCGCTTTGACTAGACTCGCCGCCGGCGCGCTCGCCCGCGGCCGCTGACCAAAAAAAACGTAACCCAACCAGCAAAAAATCGGCTTCTGGCCCGGGTCGTCGTGTGTCCCGATTTTATGGTGCTTCCGACGCTATGCATTCTTGCACGATGGATGTACGATTCAGTTTCAGCTGCCTATTCGCCGGTCCGCTGCTGGTCGCCGGTCTTCCCGACTACCTGCAGCTCCCGACGCGTTGCATGCGTGCACCCTGGCAGTACTGGTATTCAGCTACAGCCAGTCCCTTCCACTCGCCGGCCCGCCGCTGAGGTGCTGCGTGAGGCTCCGCCCCGCCGCTTTAGGTGTGGCTGCGCCCCGTCGCTTTAGGTTAATTCGTCGTTGCGTGCCCCGCTTTGACTGGACCCGCTGCTGGCGCGTTCGCCTGCGGCCGCTGATTAAAAAGGTATCCCCACCAGCCCAGCCACGATTGACATACTCTGCAACAACTGTTCTCGCCTACGCCGGGATGTTTTCGGATTGGGTCGCCTCCTCCGGGAAGAGCGCGAAGATAGTCACGAATCGCTGAAGGTGGAGCCGGAAAGGCTCTGGGAGGACCTTGCACGTACCACTGGTTATGGGAAGTGGCACGTACCATGGGGTCAACAATCCACCGTGGCTGGCTGCCTCCATCTCCCCTTCTTGTTTTTCTTCCAAGGCTGCGACGGTTAGTCGCTCTTCTGCTCCTGCGGCCCCTGCATCCGTTTTCCATGTGCTCTCATATCCCCCAGCTGCAGCGGTTAGCTGCGTTCCATGTCTGTCCATGCGCCTTCAGCACAGCCACGATTCGCATAGTCAGCAACAACTGCTCGAGTGAATGTTCTACCATTCTCCTCCTCTCCTCTCACACCCGTCAACACGTCCTCTGGGAGCACCCTGCCGCCTCGGTTTCCATAGCTTCTGCGACGGTCAGTCGCTTCCACCGGGCAGGAGGGGGGGCAGGAAGAAGTCTGGGAGGACCTTGCACGTACAACTGGTTATGGGAAGTGGCACGTACCATGGAGTCAACAACCCACCGTGGCAGGGCACACAGAGTTGTGCAGCACCTGGCTGACAAGCATGACTGGCTCAACCACCACAGAGTCGAGCAGTACGTCGTCGAGCAGCACGTCGCTGATCAGCACGACTGAGTCGTGCACTACGGGATTGATCACCACGGAGTCGAGCAGCACCACGTTGGCCAGCACGACCGAGACCAGTACAACTGGCTCAAGTACCACAGAGTCGAGCAGTACTTCGCTGACCAGCACGACCGAGACCAGTCGACTGGCTCCAGAACCACAGTGTCGTGCAGCACCTCGCTGATCAGCACGGCTGGCTCAAGTACCGCAGAGTCGAGCAGCACGTCGCTGACCAGCACGACCGAGACCAGCACGTCAGTCTCAATTACCACAGAGTCTAGCAGCACCTCGTTGACCAGTACGACCGGCTCAAGTACCACAGAGTCGAGCAGCACGTCGGGGCGCGGGATGTCGCTGACCAGCACGACCGAGTCGAGCAGCACGGGATCAAGCACCACGGAGTCGTGCAGCACCACGCTAACAGGCACGACCGAGACCAGCACTACTGGCTCAAGTATCACAGAGTCGTGCAGCACGTCGCTGACAAGCACGACCGAGTCGGGCACTACAGGATCGTGCACCTCAGATTCGAGCAGCACCTCGCTGACCAGCACGACCGGCTCAAGTACCACAGAGTCGAGCAGTACGTCGTCGAGCAGTACCTCGCTGACATGCGCCACCGAGTCCAGCACTACAGGTTTGAGCACCACAGAGTCGAGCAGCACCTCGCCGACAAGCACGACCGAGACCAGCACAACTGGCTCAAGTACCACAGAGTCGAGCAGTGCTTTACTGACCAGCACGACCGAGACCAGTCGACTGGCTCCAGAACCACAGTGTCGTGCAGCACCTCGCTGATCAGCACGGCTGGCCCAAGTACCGCAGAGTCGAGCAGTACGTCGTGGACCAACACGACCGAGACCAGTACAACTGGCTCAAGTACCACAGAGTCGAGCAGTGCTTCACTGACCAGCACGACCGAGACCAGTCGACTGGCTCCAGAACCACAGTGTCGTGCAGCAGCTCGCTGATCAGCACGGCTGGCCCAAGTACCGCAGAGTCGAGCAGTACGTCGTTGACCAACACGACCAGGACCAGTACGATCGGTTCAAGTGCCATGGAGTCGAGCAGCACCCCGCTGACCAGCACGACCGAGACCAGTACGACTGGCTCCAGTACCACAGAGTCGAGCAGTACCTCGCTGTTCAGCACGACCGGCTCAAGTACCACAGAGTCAAGCAGCTCGTCGTTGACCAGCACGACAGCGTCGAGCACCACGGGATCGAGCAGTACGTCGCAGCCCAGGACGTCCGAGCCGTGCACTACGGAGTCGAGCAGCACCTCGCTGACCAGCACGACTGGCTCAAGTACCACAGAGCCGTGCAGCACGTCACTGACCAGCACGACTGAGTCGGGCAACACGGGGTCGAGCAGCACGTTCCTGACAAGCGCTACTGAGTCAAGCACCACGGGGTCAATCCACAGAGTCAAGCAGTACCATGCTGACCAGCACTACTCATTCGAGCACCACAGGATCGAACAGCACCTCCCTTTCCAGCACGACCGACTCGTGCAACACGGAATCATCCAGCACGACACTCAGCAACACGACAGAATCAAGCAGCACCACGCTGCGCAGCACTACTGAGTCGTGCACTACATCGCTGACTACAACGCTAGAATCAAGCAGCACATCACTGACCAGCCCATCGGAACCGAGTATCACCTCACTAACGAGCACGACCGACTCAAGTACCACAAAACCTAGCAGCACCAGTTTGACCAGCACGAGCGAGTCGAGCAGCACAAGCACCAGTCTGACGCGTACCACGGAATCGAGCAGCACATCAATGACGAGCAGCATTGCGTTGTGCAGCACCAGGGTGAGCAGCACGACCGAGTCGTGCAGCACTACCGTGTCCAGCATTACGGACACCAGAGCACCTCGTCGAGCAGCACGGTGTGCGGCCGACTCCCTTGTCCTGTGTCCCCTTGGCCATCACCACAGGCTTCGGTCATTGAGTCCAGTAGCACGTCGCCGACCAGCTCAACTGAGCCCAGCAGCTCGACGATGAGCACCAGTGAGACCAGCAGCACGACGAGGACATACACAACGGAGTCTAGCACCACAGGCTCCAGCAGAACAGAGTCCAGCGCGTCGTTGACTAGCACAACTGAGACAAGCAGCACGGCGACGAGCGCTGGTGAGTCGGGCAGCGCGATGGTAACGAGCACCACGGGACTGGGCACCACAGAGCCGAGCAGCACGTCACCGACGTGCACCACCGAGACGAGCTGCACGGCGACGAGCACCACAGAGACCAGCAGCACGACCCTGACGAGCGCAACCAGCTGTAGCACGACAGAGTCCTGCAGCGAGTCGCTGACCATCACCACTGAGACATGCAGCTCGGCAACGTGCACTCGGGGGACGAGCAGCACGCGTTGACCAGCACAACGGCGTCGTGCAACACGGCCCAACCTAACGCGGTCGAGCAGCACTTCGCCGACGAGCACTACCGAAACATGCGGCACGACGACGTGCACCAGTGACACCAGCAGCATGCCGCGTCGTGCACAACGGAGTCGGGCACCACGGGGTCTAGCACTACAGAGTCGGGCAACATGTCGCTGGCCAGCACCACCGTGACAAGCAGCACGGCAACGAACACCAGCGAGTCGTGCAGCAGAACGCTGTCGAGCACAATTGGGTGCAATACCACGGGATCCACCCCACGGAGTCGAGTGGCGCGTCGTTGACCAGCACCACCGTGACAAGCAGTATGGCAACGGGGACCAGCGGGACTAGCAGCACGTCGGCGACGTGCACCACGGGTCTTGCACTGAGGGATCGAGCAGCACGTCGCCGACGCGCACAATTGCGACAAGCAGCTCGGCGACAAGCACCAGTGAGCCGAGCAGCACGTCCCTGAAGAGCACAACAGGGTCGTGCACCGCGGGCTCCAGCACAACGGGGTCGATCAGCATACCGCTGACCTGCACCACTCAGCAAGCAGCTCGGCAACAAGCACCAGTGGACAGTAACGCGACGTCGACGAGCACCACTGGCTCCAGCACAACGGGGTCGAGTAGCACGTCTGACGTGCACAATTCAGACTAGCAGCACGGAAACGTGCGCCAGCCAGACGTGCAGCACGACGCCGACTAGCATCACGGGGTCTAGCACCACGGGCTCAAGCACAACGAGGTCGAGCACCACGTCGTTGACGAGCACAACTGAGTCACGCAGCACGGCTACGAGCACCAGTAGGACTTGCAGCACGCCGCCGCCATACACCTGGGTCGAGCACCACAGGCTCGGGCAGCACGTCACGGGCCCACACCACCGAGACAAGCAGCTCGGCAACAGGCACCAGTGGGACTAGCAGCACGACGTTGACGAGCATAACGGGGTTGAGTACCACGGGCTCCAGCACAACGGGGTCGCGCAGCACGTCGCTGTTCCTCGAGATGCGACGGTTAGTCGCCTACACCGGGAGGAATGCGAAATGAGTCGTCTCCACCGGGAAGAGCGCGAAGATAGTCGTGAATCGCAGGTGGCGGAGCAGGAAGAAGTTTGGGAGGACCTTGCCGACCGCCCCACACAACCCACTGGCAACGCGACCTCTTGGCACACCCAATCGCATCTGATTCCAACGGACTCTGCGACGGTCAGTCGCCGCCACCGGGAAGAATGTGATGATAGTCGCTAGTCGCAGGGTGAGGGGCAGGGAGAAGACGGAGAGGACTTTGCCGATCGTTCAACACAACCCGCTGGCAACACGACCCCTGGGAACCCAGCCGCTTCGGATTCCAACGGACTCTTCGTTGGTCGTTCACCTACACCGGGAGGATTGCGAAACGGGTCGCGAGCCACAGGAGAAGGGGCAGGGGGAAGACAGAGAGGACCTTGCGGCCGTCCAACAAAACCCACTGGCAACACGACCTCGGGGAACACCCAGCCGCCTCGATTCCAATAGCCTCTGCGACGGTCAGTCGCTTCCACCGGGAAGAGTGTGGAGATAGTCGCGAATCGCAGGGTGGGTGGCAGGGCGAAAACAGAGAGATCGTGCCAAACCACACGCCTGGAATCCATGACATGGCCGATGCGTTCACAAAAGTCCTTGGTCACAATAAGCTTATGTACCTTGTCGGTCGTTTGTTTGGCATCCGAGTTGATCATTTCGGTGATGGATCGATCCGCGTTTGCATGGGTAAGGTCGCAACGGAGTCCTCGTCACGCCCCTTTTCTTCGTCAGGATTGAGCCGGATGCCTCCCGGCCAGCGCGCGGTTGAGTTCGCGCGCAGGGCGGCGATGCTGGATAATGCCGAGGGCATCGCTACGAGCACCGCCTGCCTCGACCCGAACCGCCCTCTGCAGGCGGGGCGTCTGAACACGCTGACCGACCTCCACAAGCAGGTCCTCGACAAGGCGTCCGCTCTGAGGGCGCACACGCAGCCGGGCAGTGACAGTCGCGGCGAGGATCCTCGCCCGGCTGGGTCTAACCGTCTGCAGGCCGACATCCGCAGTCGCATGCCTATCTGGATCGCTCGCCGGAAGGACTGGGAACGTTTCAGGGCTCGGGGCGACACCCGTCCAGAGTTCCACAAGGCTGCTGCTGTACCAGCGCGCGGATCCGATATCCCAGTCAAGGTCTTCACGATCGTGGTCGATAGTTTGGACGACGAGTGCTTCCGCGCGACATGCACGAACCCTCTGGAGGGCAGTTCGTTTGTCATCGAAGTCGACAGGGTGGACCGCTACGGCGCTCTGAAGACACTCATCTCCCGCATGGTCGGCACAAACAAGTTCTTTCTGATAAACGAGACCAGTTTACCAATACATAATCTTCGAGACGATTTTTTTGATTCAGGGTATCCCTGATCTGACGGCCGAGTTTCTTGGACAAGTTACCGCGGAGCCTGCGGAACAGCTCCGCGTCCGTCCTGCACGCGTCGCAGCCCGGAAACCGCCAAACAGCAACAACCGTTTCAAGAAGAAGGCCAACAGACCGTTGAACAAGAAGATCAAAAAGTTCGGTGCGACCACGAAGCCACCTCCAATCCTCAAGGCCACCCCCAAGAGGAGCAGTATGGGAACCACGTCAAAGGTTTCAGGGGCGCCCCCGGCCGCCATCGGCAGCCATCTCCCTACGACGTCGTGGCTCTGAGGTTCATTACCAAGGTGGTCATAGGTGTGTGAGTGTGTGTGATGCGAAAGCGATTGCGTTCTAGTGCAGTTGTACTCTAGGTTTCAAGCTAATTAGAAAAAACGATTGTGATGCATGTTCCGACGGATGTTTATTCGTTCTTGTAGTAACGATGTTTGGTAGGACGCGTAGCCTGGACCTTCCCATCCCTCTTTTCCCCGCCCTCCCTGGTCCAGAGCACGCGCGTTGTCAAATAGTTGGTTTAGTACGTACATAGTGTACAGATCTGGAGCTGCGCCTGTGCAGCAAGGCCCGCGGAGGGCGCCAGGGCGGCGCGCGGGGACAGGCCCCATGTTGCCACCATGCTTGGGCCTTGGCTCAAGTCCCCAGGAAAAGGCCGCGCCAGGGGGGGGGCCATCCAACCTCACGGCTCCTCCTCCTCCTCCACCTCCTCCTCCTCCTTTTCCTCCTCCTCCTCCTCCTCCTCCTCCTCTCTCCTCCTCCTCCTCCTCTCCTCCTCCTCCTCCTCCTCCTCCTCCTCCTCCTCCTCCTCCTCCTCCTCCTCCTCCTCCTCCCCCTCCTCCTTCTGGCGAGCAGCCGCCGCCAACAGCGACTTCACCTGCGAGCTGCGGCGCCCCCGCAGCCTCTGCGCAGCGGCGGCTACGCTGAGGAGGGCGCGCGCGCACGGACACGCGCGAGCTTCGCCCCCGGTGCCAGGCCAGCTCGGGCAGGCGGCGGCGCGGCAGCCTGGTGTCACGGGGGCTGGTGGCGCCTGCCGCAAGTGAAATCGGGGAGCCGCAGCCGAGCCCCGTCGGCGCGGCGCGGCGGGCGCCCGGCGACGGTCGCGCGCGGCCCGGGGGTGGCGCGCGCGGCCGTTGTCCACGCGAGGCCGCCGACGCCTGGCATCGGCACCCGAAGCCTCGGACCGGAACAGCAGCGGGAGGAGGGAGGAAGGGAGGGCCGCCCCTGCCCACGCTGGGCCGCCCTTCCTGCCGCACGCGCCTAGCGTTTCGCCTCCGCCTTCATCGTGTTTTCCATTCCTCCTCTGCCTGCCCTGCAGATTGCCCCCGACGCCTGCGCCGCTTGGCCCGCCTGGGCCGCTGCCTGAGACGGCCGCCCAGCTGGCCCGCGTCGGTGGTGGTGTTTTTTGCACCCGGCTGCCGCCGATGGCCGTCCCCGCCCAGGCCCAGTTGCCACTGGGCTACCTCGGACCTTGCCCCCTCTTCTTTGGAGGGAGGAAGGGAGGGAGGAGGAGAAGCTCTCACCTGGGGCCAGTCACCCCTGGGTGCAGCCGAGTGGCTTGCCCCCGCCGCGGCGCGAGCGTCTGCCAGAACCCGTCGGCGGCCCTCCTCCGTGGAGGCGCCGCCGCCGTCTCGAAGAAAGGGAACGTCTTGCAAGTCTCCGGACCCTTCGCCCCTCCGACTTCCATCCCCGACCCATCGATCTCCGACGGCGACGCTGACGACGGGGATAACGCCGACGCCTCCGACGCGCACGCCGACGCCACCGCCACAAGCGACGATACCACCGACGACAACGTCCACATCGTCCGCAGGAACTCAAGGCTGAAAGAGGTCAGAGGAGGCAGGACAAGGGAGGAAGCCCGTTTCGGCCTCTGGAGGCCCGTTTCGGGCACCAGGACAGTTAGAAACCGATGCGGGATACGAAACTTGCCAGGTCGGATCCGCAGGGGTATCTGGGGACCGATTTTGAGTGCAGTTGGGTCGGGAAGGGGGAAAGAGGGGGAGAAGGAAGGGGGAGCAGGAGGAGGGGAGCGGGGGAGGAGGGAGATGATGATGATGATGATGATGATGATGATGATGATGATGATGATGATGATGATGATGATGATGATGATGATGATGATGATGATGATGATGATGATGATGATGATGATGATGATGATGATGATGATGATGATGATGATGATGATGATGATGATGATGATGATGATGATGATGATGATGATGATCATGATCATGATCATGATGATGATGATGATGATGATGATGATGGTGATGGTGATGGTGATGGTGATGTGATGGTGATGATGATGGTGATGGTGATGGTGATGGTGATGGTGATGGTGATGGTGATGGTGATGGTGATGGTGATGGTGATGGTGGTGATGGTGATGGTGATGGTGATGAGGAGGAGGAGGAGGAGGAGAAGGAGAAGGAGGAGGAGGAGGAGGAGGAAAAACATAACGATAAGAAGAAAAATAATAGCAAGAAGAAAAACAATAAGAACAATCAGAAACATCATAGAACATGATGAAGAGTAAAAGAAACAGACGAGGAACAGCGTGCCGCAGAAGGTGCGGAAAAGGAGGAGGAGGAGGAGGCGCTGGACCTCGAGGCCACCGTCGCCAGCGTCGTTCTCGTCGTCGTCGGCCGCAGGAGCCCGAGGCAAAGAGGACGAGGTTGTCGCCCTCGTCCTCGCCAGCGTTGCCGCCTGCGCCGCCGCCCACGCCACCGCCGACGCCGAGGCTGTCGTCGTCGACGTCGTCGCGGCGGCGCCCCGCAGGAGCTCGAGGCGGAGAACCGGCTCCTACGGGCCGCGGCCGCACGCTTGCGCGGGCGGGCGGCGGAGCCGCCGCGGCCGCCGCCGCCGTCGGCACCAGCAGCGCTGCTGACGACGTCGATCTATCGACGGCGGCGCAGGCGACGGCGGCGTGACGCGGGATAATAAGGTCAGGGGCGGCTGCTTGGCGTGTCGCCCCGCTGGTCCTGGCCCACCACGCTTCGGCACGACATGCTGACCACTTCCCAGCCCGCGAGCGTCAGTGTCCCGAGCTTTCCCTAGCCTCCCGCAGAGCGGAGAGACACGCTATCAGGTTGCAGCGCATGGCGTGCCGCAGGCGCCGCCACCGCGACACGCTTTGCAACAAATTATGACCGTTGATATGACGGAGTTGGGATTGGCAGCAGCCCAGAGTATGCCGCATTGGCGACATTGTCAGCTGTTTCTAAGCGCGGCATGGCGCAGCAGGGGAGCAGACGTAAAAGAAACGCCGCAGGAGGGGGCGGAAACGTCATCGACGACGTCAGCGGCGACGTCGATGGTGCCTTCGGTATCAGCGCCGACCGCATATCGTCATCGCCGTTGCCGACGTAGTCGTCGTCGGAGGGCCCTTCGGGGGCCCCTGGTGCGGACCCTCAGACGGCCCTCGGATGCGGCCCTCGGAGGCCCTTCTGGCGGCCCTCGGAAGCGGCAAGGAGGGTGGCGTCTTCGCGGTGGAAGGAGAAGAACGACCCGTAGAGGGAGCAGAGGAGGAGGAGAGCGGCACGTACAGTCAGCAGAGGAGGACAAGGTGGAGAAGGAGGAGGAGGAGGAGGAGGACGAAGAGGAGGAAGGACCGTGGTGACACCGATGCTGTCAATCTACTGTCTACAGGAGGAGGAGGAGGAGGAGGAGAAAGAGGAGGAGAAAGAGGAGGAGGAGGAGGAATGAGGAGGAGAGATGAGGTGGAGGAGGAGGAGGAGGAGGAGGAGAGGGGCGAGGGTCAAGCTAGGTGCGCTCGCCTCATATCTGACGTCTACCCCTCCCTCCCATCCATTACCATGGCGTAGATATTCTTCAAGTCGCACAGTCGGATGTCGTAGCATGGCATAGCATTACATGGCATAGCATGGTGTTGAAGATCAGCGCGTAGCATGACATGGCATGGCGTGGCGACGATCCAAAGTCGGGGGCCGTCTGCGGCCCAAAAAATCAACGAATCGACACCGAATGTGGAATCACTTCACTTCCGATGGTTTTTCGGTGGCATTTTTCAGATGTTGGGCCTATTTGGAAGGACCGAAAACCATGCCGTGGCATGGCACTGGAAATAGTGACGCCAGCGCTGCAACGGGAGCACGATTCGGAACGAGCGGAAACGCGGAAATGAGGCCAGCGTTGCAGCGGGAGCACGATTTCGGAACGAGCGGAAGCGCGGAAATGAGGCCAGCGCTGCAGCGGGAGCACAGTTCGGGACGAGCGGAATACCGAGAATAAGGCCAGCGTTGCAGCGGGAGCAACAGTTCGAACAAAAGCCCAAGCGAAAACCCAGTTCCCGGATTCTTGTGCGTAAAAAACAGTACGCGGAGGGGGGCCAGATATCTTCCGGACGTCATCAGGGGATAAAGGAGAATAGTTGTCATATTGTGGAAGTGTGGAGGAGGAGGAGGAGGAGGAGGAGGAGGAGGAGGAGGAGGAGGAGGAGGAGGGGCAGGAGAGGGGCGAGCAGGGTGGAGCACGCCGATGACAGAGGGTGGGGGGAGAAAGAAGGAGGAGGTGGAGGAGGGAGGAAAGAGACAGGAGGAGGGTGGAAGATGGGGAGGAGGCGTCGTCATCGGCGTCGTCGGCGTCGTCGTCGGAGGCGGCGTAGGCGTTGGCTGGAGGAGGGGGCGGAAGAGAGGGATGAGCAGCAGCAGTAGCAGGACGAAGACGACGACGAGGAGGCTGCTTTCCTCATCCCCCTGCGCCTCGGTGGACGCTCTGCCTGCTAATCCTTCTCCTCCTGCTCCCTCCTCATCTGCATCACTCATCCTGCACCCCTCTGCATCCCTGCTACTCCTCCCTGCGCTTTTTAGTGCGTGGCCATGTTGGTTCGTTTGAAGTGAGCTGGGGGTGCGCGGAAACAACCGCAAAGCGGTGACTTATATCAACGATGCGACAGCGACGATCGCGGCATCTTTTTGGCAGATGCCGCGAAGAACGTCAAAGAGCCTGCCCGCGGGCCCTTGTGTCGCCACGGCGGCTGCCAGCCCACCTCATCCTCCTCACTCGCCTCCAAGGTGAGTCGTCCCGCAGCGGCTGGTCCTCGCCTGTTCTCTTCTCAAGCTTGCCTCCTCGTGCGGACCTTCGCCCGCCCAGCTCCTGAGGCATGCTGGTGTACTCGGCGCGCCTCGCTGCATCGGCCTGGGGCGGAGGTGCCCGCCATCTCTTCTCAGGCCCACACCTCAGCCTTCCGCCAAAATGGCTTGCGCCTTCTCTCTCGCTCCTCGCCGGCGTGGGCGCCACGGCCCTCTTCAGCCCTTTATGATTGCGTCACGCCTCGCACCCCACACTGGCCCACCCTTGATCAAGGGGGGTGGGGCGGAGACACTCCTCAGGCCTTCCCTCTTCGGAGCTCTCAGCCTCCCGCCAGGTCCGACTTGCCTTCGCCGCGTCGTACCCCACGTGGAGGGTAGAGGGTAGACACCGAGGCGGCCATCGCCGCGAAGTGAGCCACTGCACCCTTAACCTTGGAAGCCACGTACAGCACCATCAAGACTTCTTATGGTCCCAGTAGCCCGCGTGCGCATATTCGCCGATCCTCATCAGGAAGAAGGCGGTGATGATCAGGTAACAGAGCACTGCATCGTCTGGTTCCTTTTCTGGCCTGAACCTTCTCCTGGTGTTCCTGAGGTGCTTCCCAGCTCCTGGGCCCTGTAGCTTCTCGATCCTGTTCAGCGCCATCCAAAGCCTTGGTCTTCCCAGCAACGGATCCTGTTCCCTGAGCCACACATGCTGAGTCCTTATCCCCAGTAACTTCGCGCGGCTCATACCGTGCGCTCGGTGGAGGTTGTTCCAAAGGTACACCAGGAACACTATCAGCTCTTCTTCCTTCTCACGCTTCTCCTCCTTCGTCTGCTCGTCCGTAGCCATTTTGGCTCAAGATGTCAGGTTCCCTTGGGGCCAAAACGGATACCTCTAGTCCGCGGCAGCTATCAGTGACTTTCAGGGGCCATCGATCCTACCGCCACTGCGGTAGTCGGCCCCCCTCGGGCAAGCGCACAGCCCCGCACCAGGCATGGTTCCGTACGGGAAGAAGCAGGGTTACATCTCTTGTTCTCGTTGCCATTATCAATGGAATTTCCGCTATCATACCAAGTGCTGGCAATGTGGAGGTGGATTACAGCCAGCTGCGGGGTCAGAATACCTGCGCCCCAAAGGAGCGTGGGCTCAAGGCTCTGGCGGACCGAAGCCTCCGTGGTGGAAGGATCCACGCTCCCAGACCTCAAGCCCCTTTGCTCAAGGTCCGCCAGGGAATTGGAATATCGACGCAGGGACCCTTCAGCACGACTCTCCCGTCTCGCCCACGACCGAGCAGCTGTTGCAGTGTTTGGAGCGGAAGCTCTTTCCTAGTACCACCGCGCAGCGCCAGGCGTTGGCAGCAGCAGTGCAGAAGCCAGATCCACCCAAGCCAGTCCCAGCTCGTCCAGCGCTCTTTCGTGAACAACAGCTCCAGTCAGCAGGAGTTGCAGCTCGTCGGGCGCAAGAAGCGTTGGAGAAGGCAGTGCGACATGAATCAGAATGTGAGCAGTGGGTATTGCGTGCCAAAGCAGATGTTGCAAAGTTGGCACGCGAGGCCGCCATTACAGACGCAGCATACAAGAAACAACTCCGAGAGCAGGTGGAGGCGACCGCCGCGGCGAACGGTCAGCCCCAACATGATGAGAAACCCAAGGCCGCGATCCATCTCTCAGCACTTGCGGCAGCCACAGAGGACGCAGCATTGCCGGAGCTACTTCAGTTTGAAGATGGCGAATTATTCGATATTTCAGATTGCGACCTGGACCCAGCAGGGATCCAGCAATGGCAATCCTTCAAAGAGACACCCGCCAAGGACATCAAAGACACCATTGTCAGAGCTGCGTCTGCTCTGGGGTTGTCAGCCCGCAAGAAGGATTTCAAGGACCTCAAGACCAGGATGTCTACCAAGAAGCGCAAGACGGACATGGGCGCAGCTGCGGCGGGGAATGGTTCCAAGGATGCGCGGCATGACCCAGGCCATGCCCCAGCTTCTGAGCCAGACGCAGCTGGGTCCCACTCAGGGGGATCTTCGAGCTCCGCCAGCGGCCAGGGCGCGGCGTCGGCCGCCTCAGCCGAGGCAGCGCAGTCAGTGGAGGAGCCGTCCGTGCAGTCAGTCAAGAAGGCGCTGGAGCGGGCGGGGAACAACAACACTCAGGCCTTCGAGAGAGCCAAGGCGAGTGCAGGAGAAGCTGGAGATCAGAAGTCTACAGTTTAGCACCGCCTGGCTCTACCCGAAGAAGAAGCAGGGGGCATCCAAGGCGCCTCCTACGACACGAAGATTCATGTTGCACAACCTTTCTTTATGGGGTACCAAGCCGAAACTTGCAGAAACGTTGTTTTCGGATCAGGCCGCCGATGTTATTATTACTCCTGAATCTCACGTCCTCGAGGATGACACGAATGACATTTTCCACTTGTTGGCGATGAGCAAACTTGCTGGATTTATTTCCCCCGCCTACAAGACTCAGGAGAGAGACAGGGCAGGCGGCATTGTCATGGGCACACGCACACACAATCATTTCCAGACATTCCGACACCTCGCCGACAAGAAGGGGGATGCGCTAGGTTTGGTCGACTTGGATGCAGAGAAGTGGACCCCAGGCCCCCTTTGCTTTCGCGATGTTGTCGCGCTGGAGTGGAGAAGGAAGCATGCGTCAATATTGATAGTTGGTGTATATTTGACAGCGTCCGTCGGAGTATCCAGCGGCATCAACGTGGAAAAATTGCTTACGGTCTCGGCTCTTTTGTCGAGGCACATTGGACAGCGGGCTATCTTCGGTGACTTCAACGCCACGCCCAAGGAGATG